TCCCCGGCCCCTGCGCTAAATTCAGACTCCCCCCAGCGCCCGCCGTTTCGGAAAACACTAAGCAGTTCCCCCGTGGCCCCGCCCCTCACCACGTCACGTTTCCCAACACTGGCAACCGGGGTCTCGTGGGAGCGTTACGCGAGACCCGCTACACGCTTTAGGAATATTAAGGATAGGGATAGGGATTTTGCCCTTGTTTTTCCTTTTTTTTTGTTAACTAAGCTATATTCTTCTCTCAATACACCTCCCACTAGCTACCCAACTAGGAATGATACGCACTTTTGATCTACCCTCCAGCGGCAAGCTACACTTAAGAGTTATGGATTGAGCTTATCCCTTCAGGGTCGAACCTAAACCCTGGCAACGGGTGTCATTCCCCACCAACCAACCAGGAGGGACAAACTGACTACCGCACAGCGCGCCTCAGGAGGTGTGGGGGCTCGATTGGGGACTGTGGGGAATCAAACCCACAACCTCCTGAATGCCGCTTTCGTGCTCTACCCGCTGAGCTAGGCCGCTTGGCCTTGAACTTCATTTTTCATTCTCAAGTTGGCGTATCGAATTTCGGTGTGACCCTGAGGCAAAAGGCCCAAAGCAGAGGACAGTGCTAGCACCGCTGTCCCCCACCACGGCGCAGATTGTATCAAGACGAGGGTTATGCCTCCGTGTCCGGATAGCAACGTCGCATTGCGTTCTTGAGCCCTCCTACTTCTCGTGCTGGCAGGCAAGGGCAGGGGCAGGATTTGGACCCTGCCCTTATATCGGGATATGGAAACTTATCAAGGCTTTTTTCCCCCTGGTCCCTGATACCGAGCCCAGCTTCAATCCCCCTTGTTGCAGACGAGAGATGGAGGGTCCGAGGAAGAGAATTGCACCTGGACAATTGAAGAAAATGAGAGTCTAAATGCACGTGACAGTGTCAGAGAGCGACGCAGGGACATATGGAACGATGACTGCTGCTGCGCAATAGAGAGAGGGGGACGGAGAGAGATGAGATCTGCTGTGCAGGTGGGGTAGGAGGGAGCGCTGGAACACGTGGCAAGGGGGTCAATACACTAATGATTGGCGGATGCTGGATGACACTGGCTTGTTGTACCTAACTAAGTGAATCAGCAGACGGGAAGGATCCCGTATCAACGGACTTTAGCTAGTCCCAAACTGCTTGCTGGAGGCAGCACCCGCATCGGCAGTCGCGAATGGATGGCAGAGATTTGCAGGAAAAAAACAAAAAAAACTGAAAAAGAGAGAAAAACAAAGACCACAGCAGAAAGACTCTCGCGATTTCATTAACGGCTTCCCTAACTCGAAGGTGAAGGGTGAAGTGGGAGGTGACACGTGGCAGGGGGGAAGTGTTTTGATACCAGGCAGCCAAAGTGTGGACCTGGTGGCCGGGTTGGTAGCCCAGTTCTTTTCCTTTTCTTACGATTTTTCTTCTTCTTCTGAGTTTGGGATATTAAATCCTTTGCAGAGGGGCCATCCCGATCTTGTCTGAAATGTTTCAATCTCAACAGACATCCTGAACTATGCACAATGGCTTTTTAGTATTTACTCTTGAGAATGCAATGAGCATTACTATTAATTAATTAATTTATTTATTTATTTATTTTCGTGACAAGACAAATTACCTGACCAGAAACATAGAATTAGAGACTTTAGAGTGCACTCTACTCCGGGTGAGGATCAACTGGGGTGATTTTTTTTTTCATTTTCTAAGGATCCACTGATGCCTCCTATGTAAGAAGAAAGCATGAATCTGTCTGGCAAACTGACCAGGTTCATGCTGCTCCGACACAGCCCCGCCAGGCCCTGACCCTGACTGCCTAATAGTGCCTATAGCACAACCTATTACCATATATTACTAACTAGCCTGACACAGCCAGCCCCTGTGCACCTGTGTGACTATGCATACCCTTCAAACGCTCCAACAGAGGCCACTCAAACTATACGAACAGCCTGTGGCAAAAGTTTTCCAGGGCCCCATGGTAAAAAAAATACTTGGGGGTGCCCTGACTTCTGGGCTACCTCCCTTTTTTACGTAATTTTTTGGTGTGATTTATATGTTAAAGAAACAAAATACACACAAAAAAAGAGAGTTGCGGCCGCCCTGTCAGGGCTCAACCTCCTGATGAGTCGGTGAAAGTCCCGATGAAAACTGTCTGGCACAGTCATGCTTTTCTTGTGGAGTTGTGTATAGCCAACATGACAAAACACACACACACACACACACACACACACACACACACACACACACACACACACACACACACACACACACACACTCTCAGGGGTATCACTAAGGGCCTCGCCGCACCACTGTTGAAAATGCGATTTTCGACAGTTCCTCTTCACCACACAGGCTGTCAAAGTCGGAGACGGGAAGAAAATTTGCAAGTTGTCATAGAATGCTTCTCGACACCTCCTGTCGATAGTTGTTGAATCCCCAGCCTGCTACTCCGATGCTTTCGACACTCCTCGGCTGCGCCGTCGACTTCGCTTCGAAATTTGGTGAGTGGGGGTAAGGTCGGGATGGACTGATGCTTGTTGTACCCGCAGGCGCCTTCGTCTTTTTCCATCCTTATTTCACAAGTGCGTGCACTCTACGTCATTTTCCATCCTTCTTTCACAAGTGCGTGCACTCTACGCTGCTGTGTGGCGAAGGGGGGGCAAACTGTCGAATGGAGGCTGTCGAATTTGTTCTGACAGCCGTTCGAATTTTTTGGCCTTTCGACTGTGGTGTGGCGAGGCCCTAACTCTGGGCAATGTGGTCGGTCCTTATCCATCAGTCAAATACATCCTGGCAGACTGTTTGTCGGGGTTCAACCTCGTGATGAGACGGTAAAAGTCCAAGAAAAAAGATTCTGGCACAGTCATGCTTCGGAGTTATGTATATACACAGACCCCTGCTCTCTCTCTCTCTCTCTCTCTCTCTCTCTCTCTCTCTCTCTCTCTCTCTCTCTCTCTCTCTCTCCACGCACTCGTTGGGTGCACGTGCTCTGTGTCAGTCCCCACACGTGCCCAACACACACACACACACACACACACACACACACACACACACACACACACACACACAATTTCCGTACAAGCCAGTGATTAGCTATTTGCTGTGAGTCGAAGAGAAGATGGACAGCAGGGCATAATCATAAATGATAATTGGATAATAATTGCTTGGACTGGGATGTATTAGAGATGACCAGATTCCGTTCATTGAAAAGAGAAGCCATGAACCTGCACTGGCTTTCGACCAGGTTCCATTCGCACATGGGATAAATTGAAAGAGAGAAGCCCAATGAAACATGGAGGTAACATTTTTCAGAGCGGAACACATGCGCTCAACATGGGGTGAAGCCATGAACCTGCACTGCCTTTCGACCAGGTTCGTCCTCTTCAGCACAACTAGAGCAATACATCTCACTCGTCCACGAGTTGTGACTACCTGGTAACATACCATTTGGATCCCTTGAATTTCGATGACAGCAACATTTTCGCTTCTCTCCGTGAAACTGAAGCCTCAAGCACCAGCTGCTCTCACGTCTCACCAAAAACGTTTTTGCCGTCTGCTCCGACTTCCGGGGCACCACACGCCCCCCTGCCAGCTATCTCAATGAACGGCCCAACAACTCCTTTTCTACCCCCTTGCCCCCCCCTACCCCACCCCCACACACACAGACAAAATACACACAAAAACACAGACACAGAAAACAACCGCTTTTCTGAGGGTATGGCCAACTCCGACTGACGTCGTGAGTCCTTACCGATCAGTCAAATGCATCCTGGGCAGACTGTCTGTCCAGGCTCAACCTCCTGATGAGTCGGTGAAAGCCCCACGAAGCAGTCTGGCACAGCCATGCTTTCTCTTGTGGAGTTTCGTACAGTTGAAATGATAACACGTACACACACGCACGCACACACACACACACGCATGCACGCACACACACACGCATGCACGCACGCACACACACACACACAAGCGCGCACCCACACACACACACACACACACACACACACACACACACACAACACAGTCACACAGAGCGGAAAGGAAACACAGACGAGACAGCAATGGAAAACATCAGCTTGCGATAATAGGGTGCTGCGATGCCCTTGTGCAAACGAGCCACGTGGCAGAGAGAGGAGACTTGGGCGTGAGCACTGCGCTGAGCAGTTGCGTGCTTCGCTTGTCTAGAGTTTCTCTTATCACTTAATGATGACCACATCACACGACGCCAAGCACATCGTACTACTATAAGCTGCTTTCGCAGCTAGACAAAAGCTGTTGTTACACCCATGGACTGTTGAAGCACGCACCTGAGTTCGACTTCCAGTGGAACTACAAGAATACAATAAAATGGGAAAGAAAACGAGGAGGGAGGAGGGGGGGGAAGTGTCCAAGAACCGACGTTTAAATTGATGCCACCACACACAATAGTGTCCGTAACACAGTGCAGCGGCAATCAACAGAGGAGGGCCACTCAAGGGGTATGGTGGGCATTCACCATCGGTCTCTTTTTGTCAACTGTTTGTTACTCGTTTTCCACTCTCCATAACCCTTCGACAAACACCTCGCCCGAAAAGGACATGGTATTGGGGGGTGGGGTGGGGAGAGGGGGGGAAGATTGTGTTAAAAAAAGCATCGCTTGCAAATTGTTCCCCTGTTGCCCCCCGCCCACCACCACACACACTCCCAAAAGAAAAACACACCCTCGGAACCGGTGGGCGGGGAGGAGAGGGGGGGGGGAAGGGTATAAAAATTGAAAACGAGTATGCCCAGCCGTATTACTCCTGCTCACTGGCGATTAATCAGATTGGTGGTTTTGCGGACTTGTGCGTTGTATGCCAGGCTGAACATACAGAGGAAAATAAATAAAAATTTAAATAAATAATATCGGACACCAAAAAAATCCACTGAGTATGCACCTGGTCAATCTACGCTCCTTCAACCACTTCTTTCTTTTAATCACGGTTTTTGCGGTTTTCACTGAAAACCGTGAGGATCCATCCCAGGACATCAGCACCGCAGGATCCTGAGAGCAGTACTCTTTCCCATCGAGTCTATTGAGCCCGGCCTACAAAACACTGAAAACCAATCCATCGTCGCTCCCACATCCTCCGCAACCCCTAACCGGGACCGCCCACCAATTGATCCTGACCCACCTCCAATTCCTCCTCGAACCCACACATTGTTCAATTCCCTCCCCC